GGCTGAGGAAGAAGGATCACTGTGAGTTTGAGACCAGCCTGAGCTACATAGTGAGTTCCAGGTCAGTCTCAACTACATAGTGAGACCCTGTCTCAAAAAAAAAAAAAAAAAAAAAAAAAAACACTCGCAGGTGATTCAATAACATCATATTTGGTAGCTTCAGCGATGAAAGCACTTAAAAGGGAGCCACCAGAAATTGTAAATTCAGATGCGAAACAACTCCTCAGCATCCTGGAAGCCATGGGATTGGGAGGAAATTGAGGTCACACCAGTCCGATGCTTAAGATAACTGAGATGGAAACTGTAGTGATTAGGACACTAGATTTATCTTAGAAAAACTTATCGAGGCAGGCATAGTGGTTCGTGCACACGTGTGGTCCCACGCTCTGAGAGGCAGAGGCAAAAGGAGCGCAAATTCCAGCTCAGCCTGGGCAGTTTTGGACTTGCTATGGAGTCCCTGTCTGGACATGTGGAATGGGGAGAGGGGCTGGAGATGTAACTCTGGATCATAAAATTTATAGCACAGTGCTTGGCTCAATAAATAGTTGTTTTATTGTTTATACAATATCACAGCCCAGTAGAAGCCTCCCCCCCAGGTGATAAGTGGAGGCCCTTTATGAGATAATAGGCAGATAAAACTATGAAGATAAAAACAGTGGCCTTGGCCTGTCTGGATTTCATTGATGACTCTTGAGTTGTCACTTGCTGTGACTGAACCACAGACTTAAATGTTATCTGATGTCTCTGGGCGGCTGTCCTGTGGGGTCCAGTCTCATCCTAAGTAACTTGTTTTGCTTGAATAAAAAGCAGGCTTTCAAGCCTTGCATGGTGGTGCGCACCTGTAATCTCTGCACTTGGGAGGCTGAGGCAGGAGGATCACCATGAGTTCCAGGCCAGCCTGGAACTGGGCTATATAGCAAGACCCTGTTTAAAAAAAAAAAAAGTAGCTCAGTGGTACAGAACTTGCCCTGGGTTTAACCCCAGCACTGGAAAAAAATAAAGTGTGAACTCATACATGAAGTACAGTAGTGTTCCTTCATTTTTGTTTTGTTTTGGAACACTGAGCATTGAACCAGGGTCTCACACATCTGTCTTCAAGAAACCATAATTCTTAGTTCTTGGATACAACCTGTACCAACTTGTTTTTTGTCCCCCTTCATGGCACTCCTCCTGGGATGGGCCTTTTTTAAATTTTGCTTATTGTGAATATTTGTTTTTGCAGTACTGGGGGTTAAACCCAGGACCTTTACTCTGAGCTGCACCCCAGCCCTTTTTATTTTCTTTTTTGTTTGTTTGGTTTTTGTTTTTGAGACAGGGTCTGACTGTGTAGTTGAAACTGACCTGGAACTCACTATGTAGCCCAGGCTGGTCTCGAACTCACAGCGATGCTCCTGCCTCAGCCTCCCAAGTGCTGGGATTACAGGTGCGTGCCACCACACCCAGCCTAAACGTTTGTTTTTTTGTTTTGATTTTTTTAATTTTGTATGTTTTTTTCCTTTTTTTTGGTACCTGGGCTTGAACTCAGGATCTTGCGATTGTGAGGCAGGCGCTGTACCTCTGAGCTAAATCCCTGGCCCTTTATTTTGTATTTTTGTTTACTTTTTGGAGACAAGAGTCTCACTGCGTAGTCCAAGCCGGCCTTGAACTCACAGTGATCCTCCTGCCTCAGCCTCCTGAGTGCTGGGATTACAGGTATTTGATACCACGCTTGGCTTCAATTTTTAAAAAAATGTCTGATGGTATAGCTCAGTATGAAGGCCCTAGATTCAATCCCCAGTTCCACTAAATAAGTAACATGAGTCATCACCCCAAACTAGTGAAGTGTGTAGCTGAAGAGTGATAAAGTTGGTTTTCCGTTCCTGAGAAGCCCGGTCCACTTCTAGTCTATTTCTTGGGAGTACTGTACTGCTTTCCTCCAGGAGTGGATCAAGAATCTGAGTAATTAAGAGCATTGGCCAGGTCCTTGGGTTCTATGAGTCTTTGTTTTCTGCTTAAAAAAAAAAAATTATACCTGCTGCTGAACCTAATTCTGAGAATGATTGTAATTGCTTAGGAAAGAGGAGGAGAAAGGCCAACAGCAGCACAGGTTGTGACAAGTTAAAAATACTGAGAATACCATGGTTTCCCAGTAAGTAACTTGAGAATGTAGTTATTTTAATTGAGTTACCAAATATAGCTTCACCTTCCTAAATCTCACTGGCTCTACTGTGTTCATTTGGGGAACAGTCAAGCAAGCATTCTGCTTCCCTTTTCAACCCTGAGCTTGCATGTGGGTGTGGGCATGACAAAGTTTACTATTCCCAGATTAATTTCCTACTCTTTCTGTTAAAATTCTCGGGACATTCTTGGGTGGGGGATATAATCAATGGTGGGTCACCTGCTTACCCGGCAGGAGACCCTGGGTTCTTACCAACA